AGAGACGAAACTTGCCTAAGCCTTTAAGCAAAATTTCACCATCTGCTGAGCAGCCCACGCAGAAGGAGGTTCATTTCTAAATGCCTACTCATGTAATTGTATCAGTTTGCGGTAGGAATCTTGCTCTCTGGGCCAGGTGGTATACTGAGTGAAAATTAGGACTGGCTTTTAATCCAGATGGTATCTTCCCACTACCTCACGAAGGGGTCAGCTTCATTGAGAATCACTTCTCCTATTTGGTATTAATGTTCTGAACGCCACATAGAAGGAAGCTATGAAAAAAATGCTAATAGGTTTTGAAAATACTCTGTTCTTTTTGAGGAAGGAATTCAATTATGTAGAAATGAAAAATATAATGTTTATTAACGGAAACATTCCTACAGGTCGCTAAGACATGATTAACCCATATTTAGTGAGTGTCAGTTTTTCTCAGTGGCCTTGCTAGGAAATGGGTTAGCAACCATTCACTTTGAAACAGTGCTCAGATTTATGATTCCTTCTGTTCTTTCAAATCTTCAATCCCCAAGTTGACTCTCATTTGGAGGTGGCAAAGGTTGGAAATAGGTCTCTTTGCACTAACTCTGAGGGAAAGCTGAGAGGCTGTATTTTCCCTGAAAATAGTTTCTAATGTGTTGCTTCTCTGTCTGAAGTTTCTTGGGCCCTTAATGGGGCTTGAAGGTGGCAATCAGGTCACTGAACTATTTCTAGCATTTTAAAAAGATCTAATGAACTATATGGACTAATTTAAAATTCAGGATTCTTTACCTTTTGTTAATAACAAGAGTCGTCTCAAGTTGATGGTAAATTTTGGTTGACTGTCACCTATGCTTTTGAAACCAAAGGAAAACAAATGGTTTATTTGATAAGATGCAATTAATGTTGGTTAGATAAAGTGCTATAAAACATGAGTCTGTGGTATTAAAAAACAGAAAGCATCCCTGAAGGTGAAATTGTTGGCAACAGTGTTTAATGAGAGAAAATGGTCTGAACACCTGGTTTTGTAATGGATAAATCAAAATAGGGAAACCAGAGTAAATCATGAGGACAACCAAAATAAATCGTGGTTATCTAGTCCCCTAGAAGTGCCAATGAAGGAAAATATGCACTTAAAATGCGTGTGTGTGTGTATATATATATATATATATACATATATATATATATGTATGTATATATGTGTGTATATATATATATGTATGTATATATGTATATATATATATATGAACCTAAGTAATTTTGGGGTCTCTTGAACTTAATATTTATCCTTGGTTTCTTTAAATCTATTTTATATAGTATCTTGGAATATCATAAAAATAAGATTCTTACATGAACATAGATGGGTAGCTGTCACCTCACCTCCTGCTATTATCATCTATTTAGCACAAAGTTGCTCCCCCAAAAATGTTTATTAATTGAGTTCTTTCATATTATAAATTTTTTATAAATGTCATTAAAAGATTTCATTAAACTTAGATATGCCTAAACTCTATATTTAAAGGAACCCTTCTCGCTGAGATTGTTATTTTTTTTCTTCTTCAAAATATTTACATTCCTCTTACAAATCCTCATTTATCTTTAGGTTCTTGGTCTCCCTGAAGAACCTCCTGAAACAGCTGAAGAAGTAAGCTTATTTTTTTCCTTTGGAAATTAAATATATTTTCTGTTTTCTTTAACATCAAGTGAGTACATCTTCTCTTGGTTTGGGTTTAGAAAGAGAAGAGAGCACTGTAATTAGGTCTGTTTTGAATGTGGTATGATCTCAAACCCCTTAGCTCTAGTCCTGTTTTGGAGCCGGCTCTCTGCTGAGGTCGGGGGTGGGGGATGTTTAGAGCGCTCCCACTTCACCGAGCAGAGAAACGATTACGTGGGCTTTTCCAAACTTGAGGTCAGCAAAGGAGTTAGTTATTTTTTTTAAGATTTTATTTCTTTATTTGGCAGAGAGAGAGAGCGCATGAGCACAGTAGGCAGGCAGAGGGAGAGGGAGAAGCAGGCTTCCTGCTGACCAAGGAGCCCGATGCGGGGCTCGATCCCCGCACCCTGAGATCACAACCTGAGCCGGAGGCAGACGCTTAACCGACTGAGCCACCCAGGCGCCCCAGGAACTACTTATGAAAACAGAATCAGTATAGGCAGATGACTTCAAATTGTAGTTTTCCTACTAAAATAGAGGAGCTGAAGAATACAGGTACTGTGTAGATGTTTGAGTTGAAAGATGGTTTGGGGTTTTGGGGTACGGGGTCCAACAGAACCTCCACTCTGTGTTGAGCTGCCCTCTGCCCGGCTGCGCATCTTTAAAGCCCTGAAGTCCTTCAGGCAAAGGAAAGCCCTGATGCTCCCCCCCCCCCCCCCCCCCCCCCCCCCCCCGTCTAGGGCTCAGCAACTGTTGGACTCCTTGAAAACTGGTTTTGAGGCCGCCAGGATAGCCCCTGGCAGGGTCTCATTTGTATCAACACATTCGCAAACATTTCAGTTGAGGACGTAGGACGTCTGAGGAAAATCCAAAAGTCAGATAATGAAGGGTGCAATCCCGACACGGAACCTCCAGGAGAAACACAAAAAAAGAAGAACAACTTCTAATTCCTTTCTGTTATACCCAGCAAATTCAAGTCTGTGATGATGTCCGTCCTGGCCCACACACTCGACATTCTCACTTCTCATCAAGTGCTGGGTTGGTATCCACAACAACCGTATCCACAACAACTTCTTCATACAGAAGTAATTAAATGTAGCTCCGTTTGACAGGGAACACCTTTTATGAATTTCCTCTGGCTTCAAAACACATGAGCTCATTGCTACAGGACAGACTGGGTGGAGCTTTCACTATATATGTATGTATATGTGGTAGCTGTGACTATGATAAGGAGCCATTAGAAAATTCCCGTTCTAGCCAAAGCCTGCTTGCCTTTCGGAGCGGACTAATAGACGAGCCAACTAATGACTCCATGCATTTCTGATAGGAGAGGGAGGGACTCCATGCATAATTAATGCAATTCCTACGTAAGCAGTACACTTTGATTCTTTTAGTGCCTGTTAGGTATTTAGTATTAGAACCATCCATAGAGTTCTAAATAATACAGTAAGAATTTAAAAAATGAGAGGAGGGGCGCCTGGGTGGTTCAGTGCGTCTGCCTTCAGCTCAGGTCATGATCCCAGGGTCCTGGGATCCAGCGCCAGTTTGGGCTCCCTGCTCAGCGGGGAGTCTGCTTCTCCCTCTGCCCCTCCCCGCCTACTTGCGCTTATTCTTTCTCGCCCTCTCGCAAAAATAAATAAAATATTTTTAGAAAGGGTTTCCTGACAGTTACTATTTAATAAACATCAGAAAAAATTACTTCCTCGTCTTTTTTGTTTTTTGAATGTCTTTTAATATTAACTAGCAGTTTCCAAGCTCTTGGAAAGAGCTTAGAAAGAGCTATGTAACTGTTTAATCAGGGAGAAATGATGGGGAAATCCAATACGTAAAGGAGATGGAGCAGGAGCTCTATCTCAGCAGCTAGGACCAACTCCTCTGGGCACAGCCTACAAGGACAGAGTAAGTTGGGAAACTTTGTTTCCTTCCAATGCAGTGTTTTTCTCCTCCATAGACTCTGAGGTGGCACTGGAACTTCTTGGTTTGGTAGATGAATTTTGAAGGCCACATGCAACCTTGATATTATCTGGAAAGACAGAAGCATCTAGTTTCTGGTGTCCTCTCCGGAAGGCTTGGTCACTGATCTCGGTCAATAGGAAGATGTTCTTCCGTTTCAGAAGGCATTTTTATATTTAGAGTGAATTTTATCTAGACCTTTATGTTGGCCTACTACTCTCAGAGCTCAGTGCCTACAAAACCCCACACTAGCTGTGTAGAATTACAGAAGTTTCATAGGAGCAGCAGTTTTGGAATTGCGAAGAGCAGCGGATTGGAATTCTTACTTGATCATTTTTATTCCTCAGATAGTTACTGTTGCTCTCCGATGTCCAAGTGGGAGTGTCCTGAGGAGAAGATTTCTTAAGTCTTGCAGTTCACGGGTGAGGAAATTCGTATTTTGAGAAATAATTTTTGTTGAATTTGACAATAGTTTACTCCCATGCCGTGGGGGAGGTATTACCACTCTCTTGCCTGGGTCTCCCTTCAGGGGTGGTAAAGGGCATTTATATGTACTTGGTGTTCCAGAAATTTGGATAATTAGGCATGCTAGATCTTTTTGAACTGTGATTTCTGCTTTTTTTTTTTTCAGTTCTTTTCCTATTTTTTATTTGTTGTTTTTTTTATTAATTACATTTTCACAGCTTGGTAGATACGATGCTCTCAAATCCCTAGGAATCAGCCAGTATTAACTTTGTTCCCATTATCCTTGATGGGTTATTAATTTAAACCCTATTGCTTATATGTAATTTTCAGATCATTCTTTAGGGGTTATTTCCTTTTGTTCTAATAGATTTTTTTTCTCTTAAAAACAGTCCTGTGTTCATTAGCAATAATTTGGAAAACAGAAAAGTAGAAAGAAAAAAGACTTGATCTGTAGTGTGACACCAGGGCCAATTGTTAATATTTTGGTGTATTTCTACTTATAAGCACACTTAATTATGCATTGTATTAGAAATATATCTATTTTTTTAAGATTTTATTTATTTGACAGAGAGAGAGCAAGCACAAGTAGGGGGGAGCAGCAGGGAGAGGGAGAGGGAGAAGCAGGCTCCTCGCAGAGCGGGGAGCCCAATGAGGGGCTCCATCCCAGGACCCTGGGATCATGACTCACGCCAAACGCCAATGCTTAACAACTGAGCCACCCAGGTGCCCCTAGAAATATATCTAAATAGTTTTCTGTCGTGATTCTTGCATTTAACCTTCTATGGCTAGCATGCTATGAACTATAATGGAAAATACTGATGGATTTGACTACATAGAAATGTAAAATTCCATAAAAAAGTTCAGGGGCACCTGGGTGGCTCAGTCTGTTAAGCATCTGCCTTTGGCTCTGGTCATGATCTCAGGGTCCTGGGATCGAGCCCCACATCGGGCTCCCTGCTCTGTGGGAAGCCTGCTTCTCCCTCTCCCTCCGCCCCTCCCCACCTCTTGTGATCTCTTTTTCTCTCTCAAGTAAATAAATAAAATCTTATTTAAAAAAAAAAAATTCATAAAGTTAAAACTTTGGAAAAATATTTTACATTTATGTATGATAGTCATTTCTTTATAGGGAGCTATTATATTAATCAAGGAAAAGGTAAACAGTAGAATGGCAGATAAAAAAAACATGAAGGATTTCCTAAAGAAAAAAAAAAGTGACAGATAAAAATGTTTGGCCTGGGTGCCTGGGTGGCTCAGATGGTTAAGCGTCTGCCTTCGGCTCAGGTCATGATCCCAGGGTCCTGGGATCGAGTCCCGCGTCGGGCTCCCTGCTCCTTGGGAGCCTGCTTCTCCCTCTGCCTCTCTCTCTCTCTCTGTCTTTCATGAATAAATAAATAAAATCTTTAAAAAAAAAAAAATGTTTGGCCTTGGGGTACCTGAGTGGCTCAGTTGGTTAAGCGTCTGCCTTCAGCTCAAGGAATGATTCCAGGGTCCTGGGATCGAGTTCCGCATCGGGCTCCCTGCTCAGCAGGGAATCTGCTTCTCCCTCTCCCTCAGCCGCTCCCCCCTGCTTGTGCTCTCTCTCTCTCTATGACAAATAAATAAATAATCTTAAAAAAATAAAATACAGAGGGGCACGTGGGTGGCTCAGTTGGCTAAGCATCCGACTCTTGATTGCAGCTCAGGTCATAATCTCAGGGTCATGAGATCGAGCCCCGAGTCGGGCTCCTCACTGAGTGTGGAGCCTGCTTGGGATTCTCTCTCACCCTCTCCCACTCCTACCCCCTTGCCCATGCTGTCTCTAAAAAAGTAAACTAACTCTCTTAAGCCTTTTTTTTAATCTTTTTTTTTTTTTTAATTTATTTTTCAACAGAGAGAGAGACAGCGAGACAGGGAACACAAGCAGGGGGAGTGGGAGAGGGAGAAGCAGGCTTCCTGCTGAGCAGGGAGCCCGATGTGGGACTCGATCCCAGGACCCTGGGATCATGACCTGAGCCGAAGGCAAACGCTTAACGACTGAGCCACCCAGGCGCCCTCTCTTAAGCCTTTAAAGATGATCTTATCAGAGACCCCAGAGGCCTGCATGAGATTATAAGGAAAAGATTTCAGGGCAGGGCACCACTCAGTGAAAGTCAAGCTTCCATATAACGGTAAAGCATCAGATTTTGATGGCCGGGATGCATTAACTGTAAAATGTATTCTTACATAGTTGACCAAATTGAACTATTGATGGTTTTTATTTAGTTTTGGTATAATCCATTGAGTTGTTTCAGAAAATACGAGTGACCATTTTCAACAGTTCAAGTATCTTAGTTTAATGAATAATGGTATCATCAGCAGAGATGAGGATATTTGACTTCTTTGATTTATACTTGGAAGACATGCAGGCAGTTTACTGAAGTGTTTCACATCATTCAGATGGAAATGAGCATGAATGGAAACAGGCAATAATACAGCTCTGTTTTACATTGTTTCAGATCCTAAGACTTCATCTGCACAATCCTCTTGAAACAGTGATAGTATGAAACCAGCATATATACCTACCAATTTACGGTTAAGTAGACAGTCTGTTCTCTAGGTGGTCCCTCTTTGTAGAGTCCCAAAAAGCTGATGAGCAATCTGCAGAAAATTTTTCAGACAGATCAAAAACCTTAGCTGCTCCTTATATAAAGGACGGGATTGAGAGACCTAGTCCTGCAATTGTTTGAAAGTAAAAGTAACACAGGGACGCCTGGGTGGCTCAGTTGGTTAAGCGACTGACTGCCTTCGGCTCAGGTCATGATCCTGGAGTCACAGGATCAAGTCCTGCATCGGGCTCCCTGCTCAGCAGAAGTCTGCTTCTCCCTCTGACTCTCCCCCCTCTCATGCTCTCTCTCATTCTGTCTCTCACAAATAAATAAAATCTTTAAAAAAAAATGTTTGGCCTTACTAGAATCAAAGAAGTGCAAATTAAAATGGGACAGAATTTTCTACCTATCAGGTTGTCAAAGATGAAAAAGAAGAGTACGCAGTTTTGACCAGTGTGTGGAGAAAACAGTAATTCTCGTTAATTGTTCCTGTGAATATAAATTGGGCCACAGTTCCTATGGAATAATTTACTCATATTATCCTTTTTTTAAAACTTTATTTGAGAGAGAAAGAGAGGGAGGGAGTGGCAGAGGGAGAGGCAGAAGCGGGCTCCCCACTGAGCAGGGAGCCCCATGTGGGGCTCGATCCCAGGACCCTGGCATCACGACCTGAGCCGAAGGCTGATGCTTAACCAGCTGAGCCACCCAGGCGCCCCTCATATAATCTTTAACATAAGCAATAGCAGGGAGGACCATAGGGGAAGGGAGGGAAATCTGAAGGGGGAGAAATCAGAGAGGGAGATGAACCATGAGAGACTATGGACCCTGGCAAACAAACTGAGGGTTTCAGAGGTGAGGGGGATGGGGGGACGGGATAACAGGGTGATGGGTATTAAGGAGGGCACGTGTTGTGATGACCACTGGGTGTTATACTCAACTAATGAATTGTTGAACACTACATCAAAAACTAATGATGTACTATATAGTGGCTAACTGAACATAATAAAAAAATAATAAAATATATCTTTTGGTAATTAATTTCATTGATGAGAATTTATTCTATGGCAATGAGACAAATGATCAAAGGTATAAGTGTTTATGTGGAGATTGGTTGAATTAAGGCGTATCCAAATATTGGAAAATTATGAAGCTTTATGACCTGGATGTTTATTACATGGAGTATCGGTAGATTCTTGGATGGTAGTTAGTAGGAGAAGTCAGAGATTATCTATAATTGATACTCCAGCTTACCCCAAGAACATTCTAGTACCCAGCTTTCTTCCTAAAGCAGCAAACAGTCCTTTGGCAGGCATTTTTAGGCAGTAGGAAATGGAAGTTTTGACAATTACTGTGGAAATCTTCATAACAGGAAATGTTCTCAATTTATAGGAATAGCCCATTGGAAATTGGGCTATCATAAGGCAGAGTCACTGGGGCCTGGATATGTCTCTGGTGACAGTGTTCCTGAGTGATTTTGACTAGTGGCTTCGATTTTGATCTAAATTTTTTTCCCATATGCTAACCTTTTGTTCATAACTTTTTAATTGAATAACCTTTCCATTTCCTAGGGTTGGGGCTTTGCTATTTGTTAAATGCCCCTGCTGTCTGTAGGTGCCTTCAGTTCCTAGGCCTTCTCTGAAATTTTGTAAAGGTATTCAATGTTATTTGCATCTCACCAATTCTTGGCATGCTATTTTCCTTTAAACTCTAGAAGGTTCTGTGTCATTACTCATAGTGGCATGATTTAACAGTGAAAGAATTGTAAAATATCATGGTGACCTAGAGGGATACAACTGTGCCCAGTATCTGATAGCTAAACTTTTTATTTGTTAGGTCTTACTTGACTGGATGATGAAAATCGGGTACCACACATCTCGATACAGCCTTTCTACTTCCTTTCCCAGACGGCCTCTGGAAGTGAAGGGGGGCTGGTCACTGCAGGACACAGGAATAACTATGGATACTGTACTCATTGTGGAAGAGAAAGAGCAGAGCAACTAATTAAGAAATGAGAACTACCTTTTCTCCATAAAATCAGTGATGCCATGACCTTACAGGACAATAAAGGATTCACATGAAAATTATGCCATTCCTTGACTGAGCTCAAGGAGATAAACATTTTAATGTTGATATCCTTGGGAACATGTGGACATAAAGGATTGGAAAAGGATTGCTCTCTGCATATAATAGTTTTTGGAATTTGCTGTCTTATAATGTCCCAAATGAAAACTAGATAAAAATGTATACAGTAAGGCACTCAATGATTTGTATTTTTCCTGGCTGACATCATTTATCACTGTGTTGAAAAACAAAGTCATACAACTCTGTTTTCTGCCTCTGCAGTCCACCTTGCCACACTGAAGATTTCACAGTTCAAACTCTCTAAAATCGTTTAAGTAGGAATATTTGTTCTGCTGTATTTCTAGAAATTAAACTTTAAAGACATTTTAAAGGTCTTTAATGCTTTAAAGTTCTTTTTGGTACCTGATAAAGGGTTAGTATCAAAAGTGTGTAAAGAACTTATAAAACTCAACACCCAGAAAAAAAATAATCCAATTAAAAATGGGCAGAAGACATGAACAGACATTTCTCCAGAGAAGACACAGATGGCCAACAGACTCATGAAAAGATGCTCAACATCACTGATCATCAGGGAAGTAGAAATCGAAACTACAATGGGCTATTACCTCATACCTATCAGAATGGCTAGAATCAACAACACAGGAAACAACAGGTGTTGGCAAGAAGGTGGAGAAAAAGGAACTCTCTTGCACCGTTGGTGGGAATGCAAACTGCCACAGCCGCTATGGAAGACAGTATGGAGGTTCTTCAAAACGTTAAAAATAGAACCACCCTACGATTCAGTAATTACACTACTAGGTATTTACCCAAAGAATACAAGAACACTGGGCGCCTGGGTGGCTCAGTTGGTTAAGCGACTGCCTTCGGCTCAGGTCACGATCCTGGAGTCCCGGGATCGAGTCCCACATCAGGCTCCCTGCTCAGCAGGGAGTCTGCTTCTCCCTCTGACCCTCTTCCCTCTCGTGCTCTCTATCTCTCATTCTCTCTCTCTCAAATGAATAAATAAAATCTTAAAAAAAAAAAGAATACAAGAACACTAATTCAAAGGGATACATGCACCCCTGTGTTTATAGCAGCACTATTTACAATAGCCAAGATATGGAAGCAGCCCAAGTGTCCCATTAGTTGATGAATGGATAAAGAAGAGATGGTATACACACACACACACACACACACACAACACAACACACAATGGAATATTATTCAGCCATAAAAAACGCAATTTGCCATTTGCAGTGACATGGATGGAGCAAGAGAGTATAATGCTAAGCGAAATCAAAGAAAGACAAATACCATATGATTTCATTCATGTGGAATTTAAGAAACAAAGGAAAAAAGACAAACCAGGAAACAGACTCCTTTATAGAGAACAAACTGATGGTTGTCAGAGGGGAGGTGGGTGGGGGATGGTTGAAATAGGTGATGGGGATTAAGGAGGGCACTTGTCATGAGCACCAGGTGATTAAAATAAAAACTTAAATAAAAAATAAAGTTTTTTTAATAAAGAATTTTTTGAAAGGTATGTATTGTTTACTGAATTAATGTCAAGATTTATTTGATTTCACCTTGCATTAAATTGGAACATTTACAAGTTCTGGGATCAGTATTTTAAAAATAAAAACATTAAAATATAGGTGAATTTTTTTAATATATATCTCTGGTCATTTCATTTTCCTGCAGTGTTATAGTCATGTACTTTAATACCAAGTTCAACTCACAAGTGTGGGATATAAAAAGATCTTTGTTGTGGTCACTCCCTTTTTCTTTTCCTGTGAGAAGAGTTGACTCCTCTTTGTGTTGGGCTCTCTTTAATGCTCCTTTTACCTCTTGTGTAGAATTTATTACACTGTATTATCGCTGTGTTTTTCCCAAATACATAATTCCTTAAAAGCAAGGATTGTATCTTTTTTTTTCCCTCCAGAAGTACCTAGTATATAGTAGATGCTTAATACATGTTCGAAAATAATAAGTCGTCTCAACGTCTTTGTTTTTTGGCTCTGGAATATCCCACATTGAAAAAAATGAAGACTCATATTTTAAATTAATCATAAAAGGGTTTCAGTTTTTCCCTTCCTACTACCTTTTTTTTTTTAACATATAATGTATTATTTGTTTCAGAGGTACAGGAGGGTTCTAGAGGGGAGGGGGGTGAGGGAGGGGTTAGCCTGGTGATGGCTATTAAGGAGAGCACATATTGAGTGGAGCACTGGGTGTTATACACAAACAATGAGTCATGGAACACTACATCAAAAACTAATGATGTATGGTGACTAACATAACAATAAAATAAAATTTAAAAAGAAGGGTTTCAGAACTACAGTTATAAAGATTTTTTTAAATTTTTATTTATTTTTTTGACAGCGAGAGAGGGAACACAAGCAGGGGGAGTGGGAGAGGGAGAAGCAGTCTTCCCATGGAGCAGAGAGCCCGAGGTGGGGCTCGATCCCAGGATCCCGGGATCATGATTTGAGCTGAAGGCAGACGCTTAACGACTGAGCCACCCAGGCGCCCCCTGTGTATATATTTTTGTGTCTGTCCAGTATTCTTTGAAATAGACTCAAATGCAGATAGAAATACAAAAGAAGATGAACACACACTTCCATATTTACCCGTTCTGAGCACAAACTTTCATAGGCTCTATTTTCAGTTGTCTTTTCACATCCATATCCAAGGATACAGACTGGAAAATGATTAAAGAAAAATATGGGACACCTGGGTGGCTCAGTTAAGCCTCTGGCTCTTGATTTCAGCTTGGGTCATGATCTCAGGGTTGTGAGATTGAGCCCTGCGTTGGGCTTCACGCTCAGCAGGGAACCTGCTTGAGATTCTCTCTCCCTCTCCCTCTGCCCCTCCTCCCCTAAAATAAATAAAATCTTTTTAAGTATTTTTTTGAAAGATTTTATTTATTTGACAGAGTGAGAGAGCACAAGCAGGGGGAGAGGCAGAGGGAGAGGGAGAAGCAGACTCCCTGCTGATCAGGGAACCCAACTTGGGGCTCGATCCCAGGACCCTGGAATCATGACCCCAGCCGAAGGCAGACACTTAACCAACTGAGCCACCCAGGCACCCCTAAAATAAATCTTTTAAAAAATCTTTGTTCTTGTTTAAAAAGCCAAATTTTAGTAATTAACAAGTGGTCCTTAAAATTTGTGGAATCGTTTCCTCCTGTCCCCCCAATTTCTAACACAAAAATCATTAGGGCCATTTCTTTATGTGGCGATACATTTTTCTTTTCTTTAAACAAAGAAAAAACACTATGTTGCATGGATAGCTAAAGGGCTAATGATAGATGCTTAATTGTTTCCTTGGTTACAAAAGCTAATTCTTCTGGGTATAGGGAAAGGAATTACAGATGCCTTAATCTTTACATTCTTGGTTAATAATATTCTTTTATACCATAGTCTCTTGCAATGAATTGGAAAAATTATAGACATAATTAAGGAATTATTATTTTTAGGTGTGTTATTGGCATTGTGGTTAGGTGAGAAAAAATATCTCTAAAGATACATGCTACAATAGATAGGACTTATGGTAAAATTTTGCTTCAAAATGGGGAGAGGACAGTAGGTGGGGATATTGCTGAATAAATATTAAACATAAGTAAAAGATACATTGGGTTACCTTATACTCTTCTTTCTAATTTTGTATAATTTTTCATTATATCAACAGGCTTCAGATTTTTAAAAAGGACAGACCTGTAAGTTTGTCAAGTGATATATGAGAAAGCTGTGACTAATAGTTTAGATTTAAAAAAAAGAATAGCCCGAGGGAAAACTAACTTGAATCCTATTTCGACTTGGCCTGCTTATTATTGTTTTTAATAATATACTTCAGTGGAAGACTGAAACTGAAAAATTTAAAAGATCTACATCTTTTAAGTTCTCCCCCATTTTCTTTTTTTTTTAATTTATTATGTTAATCACCATACATTACATCATTAGTTTCTGATGCAGTGTTCCATGATTCGTTGTTTGTGCATAACACCCAGTGCTCCACGCAGAATGTGCCCTCTTTAATACCCATCACCAGGCTAACCCATCCCCCACCCCCTCCCCTCTAGAACCCTCAGTTTGTTTTTCAGAGTCCATCGTCCCTCATGGTTTGTCTCCCCCTCCGATTTACTCCCCTTCATTCTGCCCCTCCTGCTATCTTCTTTTTTTTTTCTTAACATATATTGCATTATTTGTTTCAGAGGTACAGGTCTGTGATTCAACAGTCTTGCACAATTCACAGTGCTCACCATAGCACATACCCTCCCCAATGTCTATCACCCAGCCACCCCATCCCTCCCATCCCCCACCACTCCAGCAACCCTCAGTTTGTTTCCTGAGATTAAGAGTTCCTCATATCAGTGAGGTCATATGATACATGTCTTTCTCTGATTGACTTATTTAAAAGACCTACCTCTTAACATACACTAAAGAATATTCTGACTATTTAAACATGGCAGGCAGTCAAAATGACCAGGAGTGCACTATATAACCTATTTCTCTCTAGCACACAAGCCACATATCTTTATTTAGAGAATTTCCTCTAATTTTGTTATTCTTCATCTCTGTTCATGCTTCACTTTTTTTTTTTTTAAAGATTTTATTTATTTGAGAGAGAATGAGAGAGAGAGAGAACATGAGAGGGGGGAGGGTCCGAGGGCGAAGCAGACTCCCTGCCGAGCAGGGAGCCCGATGCGGGACTCAATCCCGGGACTCCAGGATCATGACCCGAGCCGAAGGCAGTCGCTTAACCAACGGAGCCACCCAGGCACCCCCCCCTTTTTTTCTTTTTTAAAGATTTATAATTTAAAAAAATACCTTATTTGTCAGATTGGAGTGCACAAGCAGTGGGAACTGCAGGCAAAGGGAGAAAGCAGGCTCCCCAGCAAGCAGGGAGCCCAATGGGGGACTCCATCCCCGGACCCTGGGATCATGACCTGAGCCGAAGGCAGACACTTAACTGACTGAGCCACCCAGGCGTCTCTAAGATTTATTTATTTATTTGAGAGAGAGAGGGAGAGTGGGGGGGGGGTGCAGAGGGAGAAAATCTCAAGCAGACTGCCCCCCTGAGTGTGGAGCCTGACTGGGGGCTCAAGCTCCCAACCCCGAGATCATGCCCTGAGCAGAAACCAAGTCCGACGCTCAGCTGACTGAGCCACGCAGGTGTCCCATGCTTCACTTTGTAATGGACCGATGCGGCACATAACTCATTTGAGTTTGATAACACAATAGTTACCTGTTATCAAAAAACAACATAAATATCACTTTAGGTTGCCCAACTATTATGCCTGTGATACTAAGGGCTATTTTGTCATGGGAGAAAATAAAAAAAAACATAATGCGATCTTTTTCTAAAGGGGAAAAAAAAACCCAAACCCTTTCTAAGGGGAAAAAAATTTTTTTCTAAAGGATTTTTTTTTTTTTAATGTGA